AGAGAGAGAGAGAGAGAGAGAGAGAGAGAGAGAGAGAGAATCTGAAGCAGGCTCCACATACAGCCTGACACAGGGCTTCATCCCATCACCGTGGGATCATGACCTGAGACGAATCAAGAGCTGGGGGCTCTCAACCAACTGGCCCACCTAGGTGTCCAAGGATTAGCCCAATTTATAAGATAAGGAGAGAGGCCATGTCAGGCCTGCATTTTAAAGCACACTTTCCCATCCCTCGCACTATATTAAATGCCAGCAACCAATCCAAGTCAGATAAATTTTAATTCCAAAGAAGTTTTAAAGCAGCAAAATATATTTGAAACTACATGGGGATATGGAATAATATACTGCACGCACTACCTTGAGCAGGTTAATTTCACAAGGACTTGGACACTGTGAAATAGGGTTACCTGCATTACTCATTACTCATTAAATTGTTGAGAATTTCAGTGAAAAAAAAAATAAATAGAAAAAAGACTAGTAGGTGCTTATATAGCAATAAATGAGGAAAGTCATTAAAAATGTGCTATAAATGGTCCTCAAGCACTATCTTCTCAATTTATTCAGTAGGGGGGTCAGTTTTCCCTCGTGGGAACATGCATTTGATTTTAGAGTGAGTATTGATTGGAAAGAGAATTCAGTTAAAATCAAGTTTCTTACAAGATCTTGTTCTACATATCAAGAGATACTATGAGAAACATTTTAGAAAGGCTTAATAGCATGGTTAAGAAACAAATAACATTGTTTCTTAAAATTTCAGGGTTTTAGGCAAGTCTTCTTTAGTCTTTTTGCCAATTTAAGACTGTCTCTGTTTTTTTTTCTGAGGCAGTAGTGGAATAATATAGCATTACACAAGGCAGAACTGACAAGATATTTGTGATTTTTAGACTTACAGCTTGTCTACATATTACAGAAAAACTTCATGAAAATAGTCATGAGTTCCACAGTTCCAAAAGATAAATCGCTTGGTAAGTTTCCAAGATTCACACAATGTGTATTTTGAGATTACAAATGTCTAGTTAATGCTTACTCGCAGTTTAGTGATAAGAAGTATGGTGGTCAGGGGTCTCTTAAATGCAACCAACCTGGAAATTATGGTTTTAATAAATGCCTGAATAAGTTAGTGGTTACATTATGCTGCCTTTCTATTTTTCCTTTATCTTTGGCTTTTAATTTTTCATTAGTTATTGTACTCCAAGATATGCAAGAGACGATTTGGAACTCAAGAGTAACATTTAACTTTGAGGAGCTAAAAACAATGTTCAGAGGACAGAATTAAGAGAAATGGAGAAAATAATAAAATATAATAATTTGTTAATGTTTATTTATTATTTTTGAGAGAATGCAAGTGGAGGAGAGGCAGTGAGAGAGGGGAAGAGAGGATCCAAAGTGGGCTCCATGCTGACAGCAGCCAGCCCAATGTGGGCTTGAACTCATGAACTGTGAGATCATGACGGAGCCGAAATCATATGTTCAACCGAGCCACCCAGGCACCCCAATAAAAAATAATAATTGAATAGCCTCTATTTCTTTAATATTCTATCTGTTAGACAGCTAGAAATGAAGTGAAGTTAGTCAATTAATGCTTTTTGCGTAGTACTATGAATTAATTCTCTATATACATGGGAAATGATCAGTCATCCATTTTCATTATTAAAAAACATCCAACTTAAGGAAAATAACTTGTAATGAGAAATCATATGATTTAAAGCAGCAGAGGAATCACCGTGAGTCCTTACTCTACAATGAATATACCAGATCAAAATGCCAAGCATGACTGCTAAGCATTTCTTGCTGCAATTCTTCATATTTGAAATAGATACGAAAATATGCAGCTCATACTAATGGAATGGGGAATGCATGTTAGCTAAGTGGCCACTAGGCATGTTAACAAATGTACTCTTAAGTTCTACTTGGGCATGAAAGATTGCTTCTCTCCTCTCTCTCCACTGACTTTTAAAATTGCCAATGCAAAGAACTTCTAAATGCCACTTAAACCTTCCTGCTCTGGGAACTGTATAACTGAGACTTTTAAATAAGATGTTTAACTTGTAATCTTTGTTCAAAGTGTTTGCCATAATGGTGACTCACAACATTATTGATGGTATTATTTTTCAAAATGGTAAACATAGGGTTATATATCTGGGGAAAACCTCTGGACTATATGTTTATTAGAAATCTCTCAGACCCATGTAAAATGGTGATGAATTAGCTGATGACAGCAATGAAACCCTTGTAGTGATTTGTAAAGTCGAAATTATTATATAGAAAAGAAGAAAGAAAGAGAGTATAGTACAGCCCAAAATGATGTAGCAATTCTTAACTTGAAAGCTCTTATTATGAATGTGCAACTTACTCTGGACACAAGGATTAACAATGACTCATGTTGCAAAAATGCTGGCTTATCTCAGAGGGCACTAGCAAGGAATAAGTAATCAGGAATGCAAAATACTTAGCAAATCTGAAGAGTTCCACAATTCTTCATAAAAATGCTCTGATGCTTGGGATGAGAATTGCAATTTATTACTTTGATTACCAATAATATTAACTCTGGCAAAGTTGATGCACTTTTCAATTAAATAACAGTTATTTAGACAAATGTTCAAGTCAGATGGTAAAATCTGCTCTTAATTTAATGAGGCACTTTAAAGGAAATTCATGAAGTCTTAACCCTTAACCTAAAGACACTATGAGGCCGAGTGTCCAGAATTTATTTATCCATGATTTTAATTTTCGGTCACCATGATAATAGCCAATGAAGTAACAATAAAAAAAAATCCTACACACATAATTTTTTTATTCATGGAAAAATAAATGGGGTCTAATGAGATCCTGGCAATTAGAATAGGATGATTAAAAACATTGGGGGAGCTCCAAAAATTCAGCATTTATTTTGTCATAATGTAGAGTATTGCCGTTTATTTTTCAGCTCAGTTCCAGGATACAGAGAAATTTCATTTTTATTCTTTTAAGAAATAAAATTACATTGGAATGCATCAGAAATCTGAAGTAAATAAAAGGGAAATACTCCAAAGTCCAAGCTGTTAGGTTTGTGAATACTTTATAGGGGATTATAAAGGGAGAATAGAATTTTGACCATCAAGAAACCTCTACAGATAGAAAAATTTTTTATTAGATATTGTCTCTGAGCAACAGTTTGCATTTCCTTTCATGCACAGGGAACAGGCGATCTTCTAAATTTTCCATAGAAACCACAGGCACAAACCCACATAAAGTGTTGGCAGGTAAAATGTACACTGACAAAAAGAATACATTTGTTACCAAGTGATAGTGGGACTGCTCACGATTGAGGAGTGAGGTGCCAAGATCAAAAGGGACTGTGCCCCTACGTGAGAGTGAACCAGTACAACTATAATACATACCAGGAACATACATGATGAAAACCAACCAAAAAACCAAAACCAAACCAAACAAAAACAAAAACAAAAACAAAAACAAATCCCAAACCATGGAAAAAGTAAGGCATGGTGATAGACAATAAGACCTAGTAATTAAGCACAAAGATGCTAAAACAGCTCGTCTTAAACCAAATACAATTCCAGCCCTTACAAACTGTAACCTTAAGCAAGTAATTTAAAACTATTCTCTGCCTTAATTCTTTCAAATATGAAATACGAATAATAATACTATTTGCTTCAGAGATGAGCTGCAGGATCAAAACAGAACTAAATACAGGCTTACATTATGTGACTTTAAAGATTTCTAAGCTATTGCCTCTCTTTGATGGCAGCTCCATTTGAATATTGCTTCACCGAAATTGCTTTCTTTACAAGGTAACATCATGGGTCTTAGTTAAGTCTGCTTTTTCTTTTCATTTTCTTTTAAGTTAACTTACCTGAGTTGTTGAAAGGGGTTATATCAGACATCAAGAAAATATAAAACTAAGTCCGAAGTGGCCACTAGCTATACACACCCCCCTTGCAAAAATCAATTTCCTCATGTATGAAACCAATGGTATGCGACAGAATCACTAATGAAACTAAAAACGCAAAACTCTAGAACTCCATCTCTGCCCTTCCACATCTGAATCTGGGGCCAAGGCTGGGGTGATGAGGAGTATTAGGCATGTGTGTATGTGAAGAATCTTCATTGGCTAATCGGATTTTCATTATAAACCACTATTATTAGATCATTTGTAAACTTGGTTCTTACTGGATTATTTTATGAGTAATATTTTTTAACTTAAATAATTTTTTAAGTAGTCTTGGTACTTTGTCTAATTTTCTTTTTAAATTACAGACAAAAAAAATGATGATTTTTTTTTTTCTGAGTTAGATCCTTTTATGGACCTAAGTGACTTAACTAGAATAGGGGAGAAGTGACAAGATAATACTATCTCACCAGCAGTTTCACTGCTGGCCAGAACTGTCACTACAGACACCTGGCCATTCCCACAGGATGTCCTAACCATTTTTTAAAATGTTCATTTATTTATTTTTGAGAGAGAAAAAGGGAGGGAGGGAGAACAAGCAGGAGACGGCCAGAGAGAGACAGGGAGACACAGAATCTGAAGCAGGCTCCAGGCTCTGAGCTGTCAGTGCAGAGCCCAACGAGGGGCTTGAACCCATGAACCATGAGATCATGACCTGAGCCAAAGTTGGATGCTTAACCGACTAAGACACCCAGTACCCCCTGTACTAACCATTTTTAATTCCTCTCTACCAACCTCAGCCAAATGGCTTAGAATGGCCGACTTTTTTGGCAGCATATGCTTTGTAATACCCGCCGCCCCTGCCCCCCACACACACCAGCACTGAATTTAGACGATTGACTGAGAAAAATAAGGGGACACCTGTGAAATCACACCCCAAGCGAATTCCCCGATGCTGACAAAACAGTCACTGTGAGCTGAAAGCAAAACACCATCAGCCTGATTTGGGGTACATGCCTTTCCAGTTACAGAAATTGTACACCCAGCTGACGTTAGCATCACTGACACACTGCATTTTCTCCCCAGGGACGTTAGTTTTTCCATAACTTACTTTGATTTCTTCATATACAGCCAGTAGACAACGCCAGCAACCAGGGCAGCGAGGAGGAGACCAACTACGATTCCCACAATTAGTTTTGCCTGGTCATTCACCTTTTCTCTGTTTTCATCTACAACAGAGAAGAAAAGTCCATGCAATTACAGACACCGCCAAGGATTTCTGAAAAGAAGTCAATCTGGCTATAATTTCTTATTAAGAATAATTAAGGCTTACTACTACTATGAGTAACATGCAAACTTGTGCTTTTAAAAGATAAAAGTTTTAGCATTCTTGCTATCTGGTCTCATTTGCTATTTTAATTCAAGTCAAAATTGTGGCAGCTAAGAAATTACTTATACAATGACACTTCATAAATCTTGAGCTGATAGTCAAGGAAGAAGAGTCGGCAGCATAGTACCTACCACTTATCTCGTCTGCCTCATCGTGCTCTGGAATACTTACTGAAATGAAAAATGTTAATATGAAATTAAAAACAAAATTTGTTGATATATGAAAGTCACCTTTACCATTATAGTATGATGTAATAATACTCAAAGATAAAATATCTATTCTACAGCTAAGGGTAGAAAAAAATTTACATTTAATAGAGCGTGAACTTCCCTACAAAGAAATTAATCTTGTTTTAAGGAGAGTCGTTAAAACTGCGAAGGTATTAATCTACCATAGAAAATTTCACAACTGACAAGCTTTAGTGTTAATCTGAAATCCGTATTAATTTCTCCACTATTTACCACCTTTTAATAGGGCTTTTTTTCCTTAAGAGAAACAAGTTGCCATATATCACAATGCAGTTTCTCAACTTTTCCTGCCTCAGTGGAGAATTCATTTTTATCCTCTAGTGTCAGGGACTTGTCATTAGCGATGTTCTCACAGTGGTGGGGGCAGAGGTTAAAACTAGGGATGTTTCAGAGACAAAGAGGTATCCCATGTGATGTTTGCAGAAGCCCTCCAAATGACTCTGATAGCACCATGCTCCTGGCCCATTTTAAGAATTGCTGATGTGCTGGATTATCATCTAATATTAAACTACTTAAATATTCTTCTATGTGCATGGGCCTGCATCAGAACCTCCAGTGACATTTGTTAAAATGCAGATTCCCAGACTGTCCTCATATATACTATATTGGAATTTTAGGACGTGCTCAGTGAAATTGAAAACAACTGTATTACATGTTCATCAAGCCACTGCAAGGTCTAGAAACCGCTATTCAATGGGTTGGAATAAAAGAGAAACTTGTGTTCAGGAAGAAAGGATAAGTTCTTTTTGTAGGTTGGACAAATCAATACTTGCTAAATTGAATTTTGAGAAGTCAATGCACCTATTTTAGAGTTAAATTTGTTTGGTTCTTTTGTCCTGTCAATCCATCAGGCTTTTTTATATTTCAGTCATATTCTGTTAAGGACCATTATCTCTACACAATTATTTTTTCCTAGCTCCAGCTAGTTCCTAGTCAGTATATCCCTATCCTGCTCATGTCACATACAGGATTCCAACTGACTGAAAAATAAAAGTCTGGAAGGTCAGTTAGCATCCTGTCCAGCTTAATGTTGACCAGTGATAGAAACAATGACAAAATTGAAGACGATAGATAATTTCAAATTAAGTGAAAACTGTTTTCAGAAGAAGTTGCTCAACATGTCAGATTTTTTTCACTTTTCTAAGATAATTGCATTGATCTAATTTGTAGTCATGACTCAAATATCATCTTCAAAAGCATCAACTTTGGAAGCTGGATTTCATAAATTCGAGTATCGGTTTTCTATCAGTTTGCTAAATGACTAAGCATGTGGCATTCCTATTCAAAATAAAGGTGGGATAAATACCTCAAAGAATTGGAATGCAAAGTAATAGATTAAAGGGAATTAAAATTTTACCAAAATTAAAACTGTTAAAAGGTGTTTTCAGATAATCTTTGAATTATCTCTATTCGGAACACAAAACACGGATTAAAAAAGAACAACTCAGTTCTTATCCTCTGTTGCTCTTGGGAAGTATACCTGGACAAGATAAGGTCTCTGGACTGATAAAACATGAAATGGTTTAACGGTCAAGACAAGGATAGTACAAGGATGAACACCGGGAAAAGAAAAAAAGAAAAGAGCCTGTGATGATGACACCAAATGCAAAATAAATAAATAAAACTTACCATAATGCAGTACAGGAAGATGGAATTGAAGATTTTAAACTAATGAAGAATAACTTCAAATTTTCTTACTTTTTTAATGCCAGAAATGAAATACTCACTAGCAGAGACATTCAAGGAGTTTACTGTTCTCTCCAGCTGGTTTTCTGCTGTGCAAGTTAATGTAACATTCTCTTCGGGGGAAATGATAATTTTACTATAATACCTGCCATTTACATAAGGAGATTCCTCTGTCTGGAAAAGAAGAAGGAAGATGAACTTAGAAGTATATATGGATTAAACACATGGAAAAGAGTAATACTGAGTGAACCAGGAGAGGTGCTTTGTAGTGCTATCTGGTGTTCAGAGATATATATAAGGTCAACGATAAAAGGCCAATTCAGGTTTATATCTGCAGCAGGGAAGGAAAGATTAGTGGATCCAAAATCAAATTTCTGTTTATTCTTCTATTCTGTTTATTCTTTTATTGTAATTATTAAATTAATTAAACTCTTTCTGTTTTTTCGAGATTCTCAGGCTAGTTAGTACTTTGGCATGAGAGTACTTGTCTCAAAATGATTAATCAGCAATGATCTAATCACTGGTTTTCTCTTAATAAATTTAAGAATTTAATTTTTATTTGTAAATTATGTCATTGTTTTTAACTTCAGGGGTTAATTCCTTTAACTTCAACATTATATCTAAGTACTTACATATGTATGATTTGCTCATGGGAAAATCAAACTATTTTTTCTTGTTTCCTGAGCTAAATACGGAATGGATTCTTTTTCAGTGACTGGTAAGTTCATTTGTTTTTTGTGAGGTGTTAATGAGGACAATCATTGCAATTCAATTCCTCCAAAAATAAGAGATAATTCACTTTATTTGTATTTTTTATTTTTTTAAGCAATCTCTACACCCAGCATGGGGCTTGAATTTACAAACCTGAGATCAAAAGTCGTGTGCACCACTGACTGAGCCACCCAGTTGCTCCGAGACAATTCACTTTAATTTCTTTCCCAGGACTTGACTCCAAGGGCCAACTGGATTAAAGCAAATATGTACTTGGACTCTTTTCTGAGTTGTGTTATGCACACCATGTCCTACATTGTTCTTTGCTTCCTCCAACTATACTGTAAGAGCCTTGAGGTCATAGGATAGTCTCTTGCTTAGGGAGATTATCTAGTCCCTGGGACAGGAGTGGTTAGAGGCATCAGTAGTTATAAAATAATAGATTCACCATGTGACTGAGCAGGGAACAAATAAAAGATTATGGATGGATCAGCACAAATCTAGAACAAGAAAAATAACATATCACCTAGCGGGCCAGAATCAATCCTTCTCCTTGACAATGAAGAATGGCATTGTTATTTTTATCCTCATAGTAAGTTCACATGCTACTTTTCCACTTCCCACTAGTATTTTTCACATGACTTTCTCACTGAGTCTTTGCTTTTGTTTTATCTCTGTAAAATGTATTTATTCATTTCAAGGGTGGCCTTTTAAATCTCTCTATCTGTTCATCAAATATCTGTTGTGTGCTTATTTTTCTATTTTCCAGTATATAAAGGTGGGTTTTTTTTGCTATAATTATCACTTAGTTGAACTAGAAACAAAAATAATAGAACAGAAAACAGTCATTTTTGATGCTAAAAAAAACACAGATCTGTACACTGTCAGCAATTCTGGTGTTTCTTGTTTTTTTTTCTGAAATAAGAAAACTGAATTTCCTTAGAGTCAAAATGTCTAGAGACATTTTGCCTTCCTCATGTATGCTGCCTTGTGTGTCCCCATCACACCCAATCAAATCAGGAGTCATTTGCTTCAAGTATGTCCACTCCTTTGGGGACCTTCCATACTTGGAGTTATGCAAATACATATGCATCACTCACAGGTAAAAGAGCCAAAATTCTCCTTGCTCTGCAAAATTATGTTGTATAAGCTGGACCAGCAGCCCAACTTCCATGGCAGAGAAAGAGTAGAAATTTTAACTTAAAACTAAATGCAACTCTGCTTTATGAATGCCTTCTCGGATTTCAATTGTGTCCAAAGCTGGGAAGAAGGCAGCACAGAAGATTCAGATACTCAAATGGCACTGCTGGGTGTTCCTAAAGAGTCTTTAACTGGCTCCACTAAGAACAGGGCCATGAAAACTACCGTAGAGAAAATGGAATGAACAAGTATGTCAGTAACCCAAGCAGACTAGCAATTTAATGGGATGACAGTACTGAACCCCTAGTGACAGGTCAGATTCTATTATTATTATTATTTCTGTCAAACAGAAAATTATTGGTAGTGTCCATAAGTTATTAGCCCTTTACTATTATTAAAATGTCCTGACAAAGGTACAAATATTAAAGTTTGCTTTATGTCTACTTTTGTTCAGAAGGAAACATCCTAGAGAGACACTATCTATTTAGCCAGCCTTATTCTGGCCCTAGCCTTGGCATACACAAATTAGACCATATGTTTACAAATGGTGACTGTGTTCTTCACCACCCCCCAGGGCCCAGTTTTAAGAAGAAATATCCCTTAACGTGCATAAGTAAGCAAAGTAATGGAGGCCACTTATACTCAGATGTGTAAGTTTATGATGCAGAAAAGTGTATACCTTAATGTTTTAATCACCCAAGTTTCAGAAATTAACGACCATGGAACAGCACTCAATTTACATTCTTTTAAAAACAGATACTGACCACAACATAATGATTCTTCCCTTCTCCATGGCCCTGGGATTTAAAATTTCTCTTTGAGCCACGTTCTTTCCTTCGGAAAAATTAGGAAGTTAGCAAAAGCTTCCTCTGAGAATATACTGCAAATTTCATGCTGCTAACAAGCTAGCCTACAGTTTAGGTACTTCAGTAAAACCCCACATCATACCAAGTACAGCACATAACAAGAAGACAAATACTTGCTTGGTTTATGACGCTTCCACTGCCAGTAATTGTCCACTGTATAGCTGGCTTCGGAAAACCTTCCACATGGCAGATTATTGTTTTAGACAGTCCACTGGGATCAGTTTTCTTTGTCATTTTGATTTGAGGTTTTCCTGCAATATCATTACAATTAAAGTAAGATGTTGAACAGAGCTCTTAAGAGAAACTAGATACCAAATTCTCAAAGAAAATTTTGAATTGATGTGCCAGTATTTATTACCTTCTACGATCAGTGTCAACGACTCTCTTTTCTTCAGGCCTTCCACCTCCTGCAGAGCAGTTTCACAGACATAGTTTCCAGCGTCCTGATAATGGAGACTAGAAAATGATGGGCTAGATCGAAGCCTGATGTTATCCTGATTAAATAAGAAGTTAATTACTTCATATGGTCCACATATATTTATTAGATAATCATGGAGCCTAAAATTATTCTTCTGGGTCTAAAGAAAAGGCAAGTTCCTTTTTCTTAACTTCAGATGCTTTCAAAAATAGATTTCCCTTTTCCTTTGTAGTTTTACAGATTCAGTTTTATTTCACTGTATTATTTACTGAATTTATAATTTGGAACAAATTCATACACTTCTAAGACTCAGTTTCCTTATTATTGAAGTAGGATAATAATCTTACCATACTGAATTGTGAGGACTTAATTATATAAGTAATAAGAACTTTCAGGAAAGTTCCCAATTAATAACAGCTACCCCTTGTAGTAAATGTAGATGAACTAGTATTGAAAGACCCTGGAGACCCACGCTATGTTATCAATGATAGGCATAAATGCTAGAAATGTCATTTTCTCAAGACATGGGATCCATTGCAGTGCCATGACAATCATGACAAAATGCTTTTTAAAGAAACCATTAATAACAGCTTACTATCCTAATTTCTATGAACAAAGGAAATAGCATTTAATTTTAAAAATCATTTGATACACAGAAAACAATTCTATCATTACCAGTAATAGAAATTCTCCTAAGCAGAAAACTAAACACAATCTTAAAATCATGTGGTCTTTCCCCACTGTGAATTTTTCTCCACTCCTCATCAACTAATCAATGGCCAGGTAATCTTGATCAGCCTTATTGACATTAGGCATTCAATTAACAACAGTGACTGCATCTGCAGATGTAGAAACTGGTTTAGCCAAGTAAATTTAGTTTCTCTAGTCCTGTAGTAAAACAAACTATGAGTGCTCATATGATTGCTGAGTAGTCTAGTTGCCTAGAATTTGTCTAGTCCTTTGACCATCAACGACTACAAATACATCCTATTAAATATGCAGTCTACAGGGTGACATTTTAATTATCTGAATGAACACAAGAAGAGTGAGGAGGCTAAAAGAAAATAAAATACAAAGATGAGCTTTACAAGAAAAAAACAAGTCACAGGGGATCTAGTGTTAAAAGAGATCAAAAAGCAATACAAGGGGTGCCTGGGTGGCTCAGTTGGTTAAGCACCCGACTTTGGCTCAGGTCACGATCTCATGGTTTGTGGATTCGAGTCCCGCGTCAGGCTCTATGCTGACAGCTCAGAGCCTGGAGCCTGCTTCGGATACTGTGTATCCCCCTCTTTCTGCCCCTCCCATGTTCATTCTCTGTCTCTCTCTGTCTCTCAATAATAAATAAATGTTTAAAAAATTTAAAAAAATCAATACAAAATAATGTATATTTTCAGCAAGGAGAAATTCTAACAATACATTTTTTTATAAAGACAATTCTTGTCAACTCCTATGTGAAATGGTTTGTATGTGTTTGTCAACACATGCACTGGATGTTTAGATATACTAGGCAATGATTTCCTGGTGGGATTATAGTTACCATCTTTCCCTCTGGTGATAACCTTGTCTCAAGTTAGCAATTACCAATCCTACTATCACACTCTAAAAAGAACAGTGATTAGGTTCTCAGTAATTGCTTGCATTTCAGACAATTACAAGAATATAAGCACTCACTCAGGAAATACTGACCAAGTTCCACTGTGATCTACTATGACCCAGGGATGAAAAGAGATCCCTACCTTCAAGGAGCTACTAATTCAATGGACTCACAGACACTTAAGATCAGTTTCAGCAGAGAAGCTGAACATTGGGTGATCAGAAGCACAGCATTTACTGTACCCAGTGAGGCCTGAATTGGAATCTAACTCTGTCACTTGAGACCTTTCTGATTTCTCTCACACCAGCTTCTTTATGAATAACATGAGGATATAATAAATGTCTGCATATTTCATAGGGGTCTTGTGAGAATAATGTGGCTTAAAACACACTGAAAATTGTTAAGCTCTACAGCATGTAACTGCATACATGTGTGTGTCTGTGAGTACGTGTGTATGTGTAGAATTAGTAGATACACACAAATCAATGTCCCAAGGTAAAGTTCAGACAACCAATTATGGATGCCATAGTGTTGTTGAGTACCTCTAAAATTTGATTGTGACATCATTATATTATTATAATGTAGAGAAAGAGCATGAGTGTGGGTGTATAAACATATTACCCATGGATATACATATTTAGATGTCATATAAAATGCAAAAGAAGCCAGAAAGGAGTCAGTCCAAACAGTGTAACAGTACCAAGGAATCATACTTACTTTCATCCATACCACAGTAGCATTCCTACTAGCAGATATCGTGCATGACACAGGCAAGGCATCACCAATCTGCTTGGTCACTTCCCCACTTGGATTTAGGGACAAATCCAAATCTGTGAAGCAGAAAATCTGCTTGAAATGCAAACTCCAGGAAAGGAAGATAGTCAAAATATTTTTGAGAAGAAAAGATGAAAGAAAAAAAATCCTTCTAACTGTAGTCAAAATTCAGAACTGATTTATGTGACCAAAATAACTGAACTGTAGCATAATAAGTCCAGTATTTCAAGCCAGCTTTGAGACTAGTTTGGACATGTGAATGGTCAATCTACTTGACTATGCATTTATTTGGAGTTAACATGACTGATGTTTTGACTGCATATAAGTATTCCCCTGGGGTCTATTACCTTAAGAAAAATATTTCTTAAATCACTTCTGGAAGAAACGAAAGATGATGACTAGGTAAATATTATAAAAAGAGTTGATAAGCCATGCCAGGAGAAAATCAAGTATATTTAGACAGCAGGTGATAATGTGAAAAACCATGAGGAAGTCTGTTTCTTCAGAGAGAATTGACTATAGTAGATTTTTAAAAAATGCTATTCCATTTCTCAGGCAGTTGAAATTTTAAATAAGATCAGTTGTTAGGTACATTCTTGGCAGGTATCATTTTTAAAATAGAGTATAAAAACATCTAAGTAGGCATAATCTTTCAGATGGAAAGTAATTTCTATAAAATCTTACTATCACAGTATGATCTGTATGAGGAAAATTTAATTCAATAGAACAAACATTTATTGTGCAGCTACTATGTTTCAAGCTCTGACAGGAGATACAGAAATGAATAGAAGCTTACAATTTACAATTTTTGAGGTAGAAGTAATACGCACTCAACTATGTGACTCTAATACAGCAGCAGCTCAATGAATATTTGTTGAAAAACTAAAGGAAGGGCTACAAATGGAGGTACAAGCAAAGACTTATGGGAGTGTAGAGAACAGAGCCAAACTGAGTTTCAAACCACTGATAAAGGCCTTGTATAGGAGACAGTGTCTGCTTGTGGTCCCTGACTGTTGAGAAGGGCTTTGATAAATGGAGAAACAGGGAAACTCCTGCCACATAAACAAAGGCAAAGAGCTGAGGGCGTATGGCAGCTTTAATAGTGGTGAGTAATCTACTATGAATGATTAGAACACATGAAAGATAAACCTATATAATTAGTAGAAGCCAGACCCTAAGGACTGTGCTTACCTTGCTGAGTTGAGACTTTATTCTATGGCAGTGGGGATTTCCTATTGCACCCTGTGCTTTTCCTTGGTTTTACACATGTTATAGCTTAAGTTCATTGATTGTTTGTAACATCCTTTTTAATACTTGTTTTTCCGGTAGGGTGTAAGAACTATTGGGGTGCCTCAGTGGGTTAAGTGTCCAACTCTGGATTTTGGCTCAGGTCGTGATCTGTGGTTCACAGGATCGAGCGCTGTGTCAAGCTCCGTGCTGACAGCACGGAGTCTGCTTGGGATTCTCTCTCTCTCCCTCTCTATCAAAATAAATAAACTTTAAAGAGATAAAAAAATACATAAAGATTGTAAGAACTGTGAAGGTAGGAGCCATTCCTTGAGTTGTTACTGAGTATCCACAATGTCTGCTACATGGTAGGCTCTGAAACACAATTACTGAATGAAAGAAAGAAGCATGCTTTCCCCGTTTCTCATTAATATTAAGATATGCATTGTCACAGAGAAAAGTGGAGTTTCCTCAGAAAGTTTGAGTCAATTACACTTAGATGAACATCCTATTCAGGGAGAGTTAGAAGCTTTTACTCGTCGGACAGTTAACTTGCCGGTGAGGAGATAAGAGAAGTGATTTTAAAGGATGATGATGGACTTTGGAAGTTCTGATGAGGACTCTATCTGTGCATGAATCGGCAGAGGAATAGTAGATGTTTCATCAGCAACTATGGATCTGTGGGCGGGAAGCCCTGACGACCTTCTGCAAACATGTGCAAGCGTGGCTTGCTGCCTCTCTATCCATACTCCCTTTAGTCATCTATGCAAAGGAGACAAATCTTGTTTTCAGACAACAAACAACAATCAAGGATAAATGGACCAAAAAATAGGATTTTTATGTTTTCATTTCACGTAATTCAGAGTAAAATCTTGTTTTATTTGTAGTTAAAGAGAAATACAGTCCTTAAAGCCCAATGTGATAGTCAACCTTTCAAAACCAAAAATCATTTCAATCCAATTAAGTGCAGTGAAATCCAATTAAGTTGTTACATACTTTTGTTTATTTTATTTTTTTCTTTATCACAGTTGATCATTGAGCTACAATGTGGCTGCACCCAAGTCTTTTGCCTTATCACTCTGTTATCTATCCATTCCTGCTGATCTACAAGTAACATAAATAAGGGCTCTTTCCTTTTAGGGTCTCTTAAATATAAGCTTACTGTACCATCTCCAAGCACTGGATTATTGGTATTGGCCCACAGATCTCATGGACAATGATATCAGGGAGTTATTTTATAGGCAGTTCTATCTGCTGGTTATGTTCTCTCACTTCATTTCTTTTGGGGGATGGGGTGGTCATGGAACAGGCTGGATAAATGGTCCCAGGACTGACTGGTCCCCAGAGAAAAAGTAGCATTGTTGTTATCCTGAGAGGTCACTGCTTTCTTTCTAACCAGCTTCTGATGGCAGACACACTCAGATCTATACAACATGAACATGGAACAAACAGAGAAATGGCCTGGTGGTGAACATTTCTTAACAGTTTGCTGTTTTTCTAGGGTTCCCCAGGGTGTGCTCCCAACATCAGACACTCAAAGCAACCATCTGGTTACTCTCTTCCCCAGTGTATAGCTTTGTATCTCCCTCAAAGTCTTAGCTTCCATTCTATATGTTTTCCAAGCATTATAGGCAGAAAGAAAGACTTACAATCATTACCTCAGAAGAATTTCAAAAGTCTCTTTTGGTTTTGAAACAACAAAACCCCTCATACTCAATGGGATTATAGCAGATCATGTCTAGAGAAACTTTCTTGCAATGGATCATGTCTTGAGGTGCTACTGGGTACAAAGGACTTACTAGAAAAGTTTGGCCTATACCTCCAAGCAAGACTGACATTTGCCTAAAGCACTCTGTAAATTGTAGTGTCACTGGGGAACGGTTCAAATTAGTTCCCCATTTCCATAATGCATCAGGTGCATCAAGAATATAGACTGTCAGCAGTTTCAAAGTAAAGGACTTAAGGTGCTTTTTTGTGTGTATATTTTTTCCTATCACACTAGAGTAAATATAACTATTGGAGTATATGGAGATCAAAAGCAGGTTAACAGTTAATGAATAGGTATGTTTAGGGTGATTTTGAAGAGGTTCTATTTCCAGAAATTTTCTATCCTTCTATATACACAATAAATGGCTTTTAGTGGTCTCTACCTCTGCTGCTTCCAAAAGTTGAGTCTATAGTAACTTTATGTTGCTTGGGTTTGGGCACTAATGATATTCTGCAATAAAAAATTTAAAATATATTTAATCTATACTTTTTTTCTGGGCCAAGTGCAAACACTGTGAACTTTGAGAACATCTAAGTATTTTCTTAAAATACAAAACGAGTAATTTCTTTAAGATCCCCATGAATACTTTGTTAATAGCACATATAGAAGAGATTTAGAAAGGAGATGGAAGTTTTCCACTGCCAAAAGTTGCACTTGTTAGATCCACTCCAGATTTCAATAATGCAGTGGAAATCTGGACCAAAGCTGAGTTTGCTTTGATGCACTTAATAAGCCTATTGAAAGCACACATCATTTGAGAAAAATATAGTTGCAATTTACTTGAAAAGACAGCTAGTTAGACTATTAGAGGCCTTTAAAGCGAAGTTGGTAATGAAGAATAAGGTGACTTACAGTGAACTGTGATGGCTGTTGAAGCAATCATGCTTCTTTTGTCTATCAGGGAGCATTTGTAGTCTCCTGTTGCATTGCGCCTCACATCTGTCAACGTGTAAGTATTTGAGCTTCTTATTCCTTCAGGCTGTCCCTTTTGATAGAGGTAAAATGTCAGATGATTACACTTGGTAGCTACAATGAGATGAGTTGTATTTCTTGATGAAAATGGCATTTTCTTATGTAAGAAAAAAAGGAACGTGTTTCTATGATTGGACAAATGAGAGTAGAGTTTGTGTTATCTGATTTCTGGAAAAATAACTGAGATTTGGGTTCTAAGGAAATTGAGGAGCTCACATACATGGTATGGATGACATCTATTCCATTGATAGCATGGCTCAGATTTGAGGGTTAAGGCAGTTTTTTTTTTTAATTCTAAAACTTCATTTTATATTTATGCCTTGACTAACTCAACAAAAATATTTGAGGCAGCTTAAAAGAAAACATACCACATATCCAAATAAAAAGGAGAGAAAAATAAGAAAGGGAGGAATAAAGGAAGGGAAGAAGAGGGGGGAGGGATGAAGGGAATGGGGAGAAAAAGAGAAAGATAGAGGAAAATATTTTTTTTAAAAAGTGAAGAAAAGAAAAGAATTAATAAACTAAGAATAGAAAGAATATAGATGAACTAAGAGCACATAGTAACAACAACAACAACAACAAAAAAAAAAAAAAAAACCCATAATCATTAGATATTATTGCTAAAACCAAGACACAAATTTGTCAAATCTGTCAAATTTGGCTATTAGGATAGCCAAAGTAGAAACATAATTAGTTTCAGAAGTCCATTTGCATATGAAACAAAAGCAATATGTCAATTTATTAGGAGAAACAAAGTTTTCTGCCAATATTTAAGTCTAAAAGAAATCAGTTATGTTAGTCTTCTGAGTAATGTAGTAGATGATATTCTTAAACATTACTGAGAAACGTAGTAGGTGACATTTGTAAACATATCCCTTCAATAAATGCAATATAAAGTTGTATATGGCTTCTCTCAGTGGAAGGTTATGTCGTACCCAAACCTGGGAAGAGCTCTGGGAGAACTAACTAGTATCTCAGACAGCTCTCTCTATCTGGCTCCATACCACTAGATGTCTAGAATACATCCCAGAGGAATGCTCCAAATTATCCTCTGTCTGTATCATTCTTTTCAGCTATGATACTGATAAAAGCTGAGGGGCTGGCCCTTCAAGACCATATATGATGGCAAGATATAGCCCCTAGCTTTATTTTATCTAGCTAAATATAACACACAACAGAATGGTCCTACTTTGGAGGTTCAGAGATGTGTTCATGAAGGCATTGTGGGTAGACCTAGAATCTACATCAAGCCATTTGCTGTCATCATTCTTCATTTTAGAGTTACCTGTTTTTGAAGAGATTTTTATAGCTTATCTGGATAATGAAAACTTGAGTTTTTGTCATTATGGTTTCCTATGAGCAGCTTTTTATCTCTTTCCCCCTGAAATCTCTTAACACTGAGGGAAAAGGCAGGATCACTGGCAGATGCCAAAAACAATCACAAAAAACCCCCTACAGCTTTCAAAGGACATTCTACAGGTGTCCCTTTTCCCCAAGAATAACACCGTTCTCTCTTAAGCTGTCCAAGTACATACAATTTTTAATGTCAGCTAGCTGCCACACAACAGGACAAAATGATAGTAGTTAAGCCCAAGTAATAATCCGTAAGCACTTACTGGTAAGTAAAACAAAAATTCCTCAGGAGGAGGGTTACCATTTCCCAAGCACTTGAGAGTGATGTTATCCCCTTCTTTGATGGCATTTTTTGATGGCAGCACTTGTATTGTCACTTGTTCAGTAGGATCTACAAGAGTCACAGACACAAGTTAACCATTTTCATCAAGTACCAAATTACTCTGTACATACAATATAAATGACTAAATTATACACAATTTTCTCAAGAAGCTAGTAATGGTAATTACTTAAATGTATCTTTTTATAGAGGGATTGAAGTTAATAGCTACTTGCTAAAACAAGTACTAATCTTGGTTAGAGCAAACTACAAAGAGACCTTGTTACATAGAAACCAATTTCTTCTTAGCAAAATGTCTTTAACTGAGGTAGAAATGACCATAATTATTTTATGTGTAAAAGACCAGTAGGAACAATCTCACTGCATGATTTCATTATAAGGGCATTTAACTCTATTATATGAACCTCACGTTTTGGAAAGACTGGATCAGCTAGCATAGTAGCTAAAACTGTTAGGTCACCCCTATGCTCATCTTATATAATAATACCTTATATTGAATAAAAAGAGACATGAGCTAAACAACCAGCAAGACTTTGGGCACGCAGGAGAGTAGATCAGTTTTCAAAAAGATGAATCCTGTGAACTGAAGGAGATCCTTAACCCAGTCAACAGGACTGTAAATGTATTGTAATTCTGTTCTGTTCATTGGGGCAAAGGTGCACTTTCCATTCCATTTTAGTCACTTTCTATGGAGAAAATAGGGCTAAAGGGTATTCTTTAGTAGAGGCTACTGCTAATAGCAGAACACTAAAGAAATTAAAAGCTTGGATACAATGGACCATATGTAGCAAACAGGAAATAAGAGGAGGGGGTGTTGGCAGTTACAAATGACCCACTTTCTAATATACATACTTGTTATATAGCTGGATAATAAGAATAATAGAATAAGAGTAGGAGTAGAATAATAATCTATGAAGACTTACTTTTTTTATTAGCTAATAAAATAAATAAGTGATAGATTCTGAGGTGTTTTTTTTTTTCTATCTCTTGCTATCATTTCTCTCTCTTCCCAAAATCAAAATGCATACAAAACTTAAAAGGGTTGATATAGATTACTTTGTTGCCTTTTCTTCATGCATGGGGTCTCTCTGAATATTTGCCCAGGATGTTCTGAAGGTAAACAGTGATTGGTTTAATATACTTTTTGTTAGTTTTCCTGAATTTCCGTGAGGAAGTTCCTTGATCAGCAGTTCCCAGTAGAGTTGGAAAGTAAATAAAGTTTGTTTTTTGCCATCCCCCTCTCTGACCTTCCATTTCTAGGTCTTCTTCACTCTTTTATGTGGCCCTTCACTGACAGTTTTGTCCTGTCACTTGTCACTGTGAGACTACTCAATCAAAACTGACATCAGAACAGATAGGGATCACAATCTATTTGACTTCCTGCTTTATTTCAAAACTTCCCTTCTCTGTGTCCTCTTTCAATAGGCTCTGCTCTGCATTAGAGAACTGAAGAACTACAATGAGATCAGAGAGATGTGAGTTTTAACAGTAACTTTCTAGATGTTCAATGAACATGCCTCAAACAAAATCAACCATCACTTGCTCTCCTGTTGTCCCTATTTTGCTCTGTCCATTAGTAAATCATTCTGCCAGGTATTCTGCCTTTCTCTTATCTACTCTGTCACCAAGTCTTAGTGATCAATACTATTTTTTGCATCTGATTCTCTCCTTTTATTCCTACTAACACTTCTATAATCCAAGTTCTCCCACAGATTACCTGAAATACTACCCTCAAACTTTAGTCAGTCCCTCATTCTAATCCTTCACATACATATTTCCTTTAAATCAGTTTTGAAGTAGTGTTTTGAATATTACAATGATATGCAAGATCCTTCATGTGATACCAATATGTGAAGATTGAAATAAAAATTTCTTAACCTTGTACCCATAATTGCCTTCAACTAGTTCAACTATATATCTATATATACCACTACATAATAAGCAAGAGTCTATTTTAAATTTTCCTTGTCCCATCTTTCCATTTATGCTCTGCCCAATCATGAATTCATTTGTTTAGCTAATATTTATTTTGTGCAGGCACTAAGTGCTAAAGTTATAAAGTTGAAAACAGCATGATTTTCAATCTATTTATAAGGTCTGTAACAACATAAAAATTGCATATAATGTGATCATTGGTAGCTTATAGATGCATAAGTCTGGGAAGGATATTGTAGGAGTTGATGCTATAGCTGGGTTTTAAAGAATAAGTAGGTGTTTGCTAGAAAATAAAAGTAAGGTGGTGACAGCAAATGGATAGGCAAGTAAGCAGTATTCTATGGGAGGCATCTGGAAAACAGAACAAGATGGAAGAAGATACAGTGAAGTGGTAAAGATTGAGACCATGGCTGCAAGAGATTCAAGGCATATCAAAATTGGGAGTGTTAAGAGAAGAGGGAAAGAAAAATCTTGGTTCACAAAAGTAGACTTAGGGAATCCCAAGACTCCATCAAACATGATAACATTCAGATCACAGGAGTTCCAGAAGAAGAGAGAGAAATAGGGGCAGAAGTTTTATTTGAGGAAATTATAGGTGAAAACTTTCCTAATCTGGGGAAGGAAACCAACATCCAAAGCCAAGAGGCACAGAGAGCTCCCTCAAAATCAACAAAACCAGGTCAACACGAAGACATATTGTAGTTAAATTTACAAAATATAAAGATAAAAAAAATCCTAAAAACACCAAGACAAAAGAAGTCCATAATTTATAAGGGAAGACCAATAAGGTTAGTAGCAGATCTCTCCACAGAAACTTGGCAGGTCCTAAGGGAGTGGCATAATATATTCAACATGCTGAATGGGAAAAATCTGCAGGCAAGAATACTCTATCCAGTAAGGCTATCATTCAGAGTAGAAGGAGAGATAAAGAGTTTTCCAGACAAACAAAAATTAAAGGAGTTTGTGATCACTAAACCAGTCCTGTAAGAACTATTTAAGGGAACTCTTTGAATAGGAAAGAAAGAATGACAATGACAAAGACTAGAAAGGGACAGAGAAAATCTCCAGAACAATGACAAAACAAGTCATAAAATGGCACTTAATTCATATATATCAATAATTACTCTGAGTGTAAATGAACTAAAAGCTCTAATCAAAATACATAGGGTATCGGAATTGATTAAAAAATAAAAACAAGACCCATCTATATGCGGCCTACAAGAGACTCATTTTAGGCCTAAGGACCCCTGCAGATTGAAAGTGAGGGGATAGAAAAACATTTAGCGCACAAATCGATGCCAAAAGAAAGTTAGGGTAGCAATTCTTACATCAGAAAACTAGATTTTAAGCCAAGGACTATAACAAGAGGTAAATAGGGGCACTATATCATAATAAATGGGTCTATCCAACAAGAAGCCCTAAAAATTGTAAATATTTATTCCCCCAACTTGGAAGAACCCAAATATGTAAAACAATAACAAACACACAGGAATACATCAATAATAATACAATAATAGAAGAGGACTTTAACACTCCACTTATATCACTGGACAGATCATCAAAGCAAAAATCAACAAGGAAACAAGTGCTTTGAATGATACACTAGACCAGATGGACTAAACAGATATATCAAGAACATTTCATTCTAAAGTAGAAGAATACACATTCTTTCAAGTGCACAAGGGACATTCTCCAGAATAGATAACGTAGTAGGTCATAAATCAGGCCTTGACAAGTAACAAAAATTGAGATCATACCATGTATATTTTCTGACCACACTGCTATGAAACTTGAAGTCAACCATAAGAAAAAATTTGGAAAGACCACAAATACATGGAGGTTAAAGAACATCCTACTCAAGAATGAATAGGTCAAACAGGACATTAAAGAAAAAAACAAGGAAATATAGGGAAACAAATGAAAATGAAAACATGGAGGTCCAAAACCTTTGAGATGCAGCAAAAGCAGTCATAAAAGAGAAGTATATAGCAATACAGTCCTACCTCAAGAAGCAAGAAAAATCTCAAATACGTAATTAAACCTTACACCAAAAGGAGCTAGAATAACAACAACAAATGAAGCCTAAAGCCAGTAGAAGGAGGGAAATAATAAAAATTAGAAGAGAAATAAAGGATACAGAAACAAACAAACAGCTAGAACAGATCAATGAAACCAGGAGCTGGTTCTTTGAAAAAATTAATAAAATTGATAAACCCCTAGCCAGACTTACCGAAAAGAAAAAAGAAAGGACCCAAATAAATAAAATCACAAATGAGACAGGAGAAATAACAACCAACATAACAAGAATACAAACACTTATAAGAGAATATTATGATAAATTATATGGCGACAAATTGGACAATCTGGAAAAATGGATAAATTCCTAGAAACATATAAACTACCAAAACTGAAATAGGAAGAAACAGAAAATGCGAACAGACCAAAAACCAGCAAAGAAATTGAATCAATAATCACAAATCTCCCAACAAACATAAGTCCAGGGCCAGAAGGCTTCACAGGGGAATTCTACCAAACATTTAGAGAAGAGATAATACCTATTCTTCTCAAACTACTCCAAAAACTAGAAAAGGAAGGAAAACGTCCAAACTCATTCTATGAGGTCAGCATTAACCTAATTCCAAAATCAAACAAAGACTCCACTAAAAAAGTGAATTATGGGCCAATATCCCTGATGAACATGGACACAAAAATTCTCAACAAAATACTAGCAAATTGAATCCATCAGTACATTAAAAGAATCATTCACCATGATCAAGTGGGATTTATTCCTTGGTTGCAAGGGTGGTTCAATATTTGCAAATCAATCAATGTTAATACACCAACATTAAGAAAAGAAAGGATAAGAACCATGATACTATCAATAGATGCAGAAAGGACATTTTACAAAGTACAACATCCATTCTTGATAAAAACCCTAAAAACATTAGGGATAGAGGGAATATACCTCAACATAATAAAGGCCACATAAACAACAACAACAACAAAAACAGCTAATGTCATCCTCAATGGGGAAAAACTAAGACCTTTTCTTCTACCATCAGAAACAAGATAAAGATGTTCACTCTCACCACTATTTAACATAGTACTGGAAGTTCCAGTCTCAGTAATCAAACAACAAAAAGAAATAAAATCCATCCAATCAGCCAGGAAGAAGTCAAACTTTCACTATTTGCAGATGACATGATACTCTGTGTAGAAACCTGATAGACACCACCAAAAATTGCTAGAACTCATACATGAATTCAGTAGAGTCACAGGACACAAAATCAATGTCCAGAAACCAATAATGAAGCAGCAGAACAAAAAAAAAAAAAAAAAAAAAAATCAAGGAATCAATCCCATTTACAATTGCACCAAAAACCATAAAATACCTAGGAATAAATGTAACCAAAGAGGTAAAAGTTTTCAGAGTCCAGATCTGAAAACTATGAAGCACTCATTAAAGAAATGGAAGATGACACAAAGAAATGCAAAAACTTTCTCTGCTCTTGGAATGGAAGAATAAATATTGTTAAAATGTTGATACTACCCAAAGCAATCTACACATTTAATGCAATCTCTACCAAAATACCACCAGCATTTTTCACAGAGCTAGAACAAACAATCCTACAATTTGTATGGAACCACAAAAGACCCCAAATAGCCAAAGGAACCTTGGAAAAGCAAAGCAAAGCTGGAGGCATCACAATTTTGAACCTTAAGCTATATTATAAAGCTATAGTCATCAAGACAGTATGGTACTGGAACAAAAACAGACACAGATCAATGGAACAGAATAGAAAACTCAGAAATGGACCCACAACTATATGATCAACTAAACTTTATCAAAGCAGGAAAGAATATCCAATGGAAAAAAGATAGCCTCTTTACAAATGGTGCTGATAAAACTGGACAGCAACATGCAAAAGAATGAAACTAGATCACCTCCTTACACCATACACAAAAATAAATTCAAAATGGATGAATGACTTAACTGTGAGACAGCAAACCATCAAAATCTTAGAGGACAACAAGGGCAGTAACCTTTTTCACATCAGCCGTAGCAATTTCTTCATAGATATGTCTAGATATGTCTTCTGAGGCAAGAGAAACAAAAGAAACCTGAACTATAAAGGGACCTCACCAAGATAAAGAGCTTCTGCACAGTGAACAAAACAATCAACAAAACTAAAAGCCAATCTTCAGAATGGGAGAATGTATTTGCAAATGACATATCTGATAAGGGATTAGTATTCAAATATACAAAAATGTATAGAACTCAACATCCAAAAAACAAATAATCCAGTTAAAAAATGGGCAGAAGACCATGCCCATGGATGGACATTTTTCGAAAGAAGACATACAAATGGCTAACAGACATGAAAAGATGCTCAGTATTACCCATCATCAGGGAAACTGAAATCGAAACTACAGTGAGATATCACCTCAAACCTGTCAGAATGGCTAAAATTCACAATACAGGAAACAACAGGCATTGGCGAAGATGCAGAGAAAGGGGAACCTTCTTGCACCATTGGTGGGAATGCAAACTGGTACAGTCACTCTGTAAAACAGTATGGAGGTTCTTCAAAAAGTTAAAAAAAGAACTACCCTATGACCCAGCAATTGCACTATCCTTTACCCAAAGGATACAAAAATACTAATTTGAAAGTTACTTGCACCCTGATGTTTATAGCAGCATTATCAACAATAGTCAAATTGTGGAAAGAGCCAAAATGTCTATCAACTGATGAATGGATAAAGAAGAGTAGGATGTGTGTTTGTATGTGTACACACACACACACACACACACACACACACACACAATGGAATATACACACACATACACATACACACATAATGGAATATTACTCAGCCATAAAAAGAATGAAATCTTGCCATTTGCAATGATGTGGATGGAGCTAGAGAGTATCTTGCTAAGCAACATAAATCAAAGACAATTTTATGAAAGAAACATATGATTTCACTCATATACAGAATTTAAGAAACATAACAGAAGAACATAGGGGAAAAGAAAGAGAGAGAGGCAAACCATAAAACAGACTCTTAACTATAGAGAACACACTGAGGGTTGCTGGAGAGGAGATGTGCAGGAGTTGGGTTAAACGGGTGGTGGGGATTAACGAGGGCACTGCACTTGTGATGAGTACCTGGTGTCGTATGTAAGTGATGAATCACTAAATCCTACCCCTGAAACTAATATTACACTGTATGTTAACTAACTGGAATTTAAATTAAAACATGGAAGAAAAAATATTTGGGGTGTGAAGGTTAATCTGAGAGATCTGAGGAGTCATTAAAAAACTGTCATCACACAGCACTAACATGGTCACATTTGTTTTTAGAAAGATATTTCTGGCAGCAGCTTGGAGGGCAGTTTGGAGTGAACAAAAGGAATATTATTTTGGAAATCACAGAAATACTGGCGATGACAAATGGTGGCATATTCTTAGGCAGCGTCAGAGGCAGAATCAGACAAACAAAGATTAAAGAACTAGATTCTATAAAACTTTATTACTGACTGGACAGGGTAAGGGAGACGAGGGTAGGAGTAGACTAGTGCATCTTTCTCAAGATAAATTGATCAAATTTCTGTATCATGAATGTATTCTTTGTCCTTTCTGTTTAGCTCCCGCCTTCTCCTCTCTGAAGTCACCTAGAGCAGTGGGTCTCCAAGTGTGGTCCTCTGATGAACAGCATGAGTATCACCAAGGAATTTGTTACACATGCAAAGTGCTGGACCCTTCCCCACAACTACTGGATGAGAAACTTCAGAACAGGATCCAGTGATCTGTGTTCTAAGTCCTTCTGGTAATTCTGATGCACACAAAAGCCTGAGAATCACTGTCCTTGGGCATCTGAGCTTTGGGGGCTATTTTACGGAGTTCTGAGTGTCACTTACCATTTGCAACCTTGCACTGACAATTTCCTCCTGATGTAGTTATCTTATTTCTCTATTGGAGTAGTAAACTCCTTGAATGCCAGGACTATATCTTAAGCACTTTTATATCTTTACTGTGAAGCCCAGCACTGCATACATTTTGCCTTCTTAAAAGCTGTGCCAAATGCACCCCCCCCCCAATCCAGCCACAGTAAAATCATTTCCTTCTTATTCTTCCAAGGACTTTTCTGCCTACCCAACTCCTCATGACTGATACATACATTCCTGTTTTTTCTTAAGCCAATTTCCCCATCCTTATTACTCATCTTGATGCTCTTTCCTATCTTGTACTCTTGCACTTACACCAAGATAGTTTATTTCCAATTGGATATTTTTGAACAGACAGAATTCTGCCTTTACTTACAGAAATAATAGTTTGATGTTAGATAAGCTGTACATAGTGAAATCTTTTAAATCCTCGCTTTTAAGTCAAGTTGAAACTTACATACAACGTTTAAGGCAAAACAATCTCTTCTTGTTAGGGCGAGTGGAATTTTAGTTTTGTTTCTATATAATATTCTGCATTTTATGGAACCAAAATAGAAATGTAGATGAGACAAAACTCTCCAAAGGCTCAACTGGCATTTCTATTCTTTCTCCAGAATAGATGCAGAAGTACTAGGTTATTCTACCCATACGGTAGTATTATAAGAAGTTTTGATTCATTTTTTAAAAATAATGACATGCTTTCTTACATTTCTCCAAAAGTGATATCTCTAGTTCTATGCTTACATAGTAATAATGATCGTATAGTAATAATAACACTAACTTAATAACAAGAGTTTAATGAGCGATAATAGGATGCTATTTTAGATCTGTGATTTCACTTAATCTCCATAACAACACTATGAGTTATTTTTTTTTTCCAAACTGAGACCAAAAGTAGTTAAGCTCCTCTTCTAGAAACACACTGAGCTGGGCCTGCATTATGAGTATGTTTGCTCTGAATCTTGGCACCTGCCTTACAGTATAGAGAACAACATTGCAGAAAAGGATTCTAACCCAGTCTCCACGGCACTTTAGGGCAAGTCTCTGACCCTCACTTTACTGCTGAGTAAAATAATGTTGTTAGATCAGATGATCAAGAAGGTTCCTTTTTAGTATAATATTCTATGTTTCCAATCTATTAAATAAAGTTAACCAAATGTCTTGGAATACAACATCCTATTTAAACTTATGCAATTGATCCCATTATTAAAATACATCTTTTCATTAAAATGGAAATCCCATATCTAGAAGACCAATCAGTCATAAGCCTCTATTCATCTGTCATTCATTCAGAAAGTAATCAGATGGCATTTTGAACTCTTACAAAATTCATAGCTGTGTGCCAGGCTAAGGACTACCCAAAGGGGTCAGACTAAGTCAGAGATCATGTCTTTAAGGAATTTAGCATCTAGCAGAATACAGAAGAGATGTTCAGAAATGACAAATGGAAAGTGAAAGGTTTCATAGCATAGTTAAGCATTCATTTTAAAAGGTCTTCCAAGGAGAAAGATATTATTTGAGTGAAGAACAGAAATGGGGGGTTGAAAGCAGAATTCAAAGAGCATGTGGATTGGGACTTAGAAGATTAATACCGTTTGAATACTCTCAGAAATTAAATTGCATAATTATATAGTTACTTACAATAAATATCAAAGATTGCTTGTTCAGAATGAACTGTTTTCTGGCCAGATGGTCCAAAATATGTCACAGAGCAGGTGAATGGCATTTGTATGTCAGCCTTGGTTGCCTTGTATTCCAGGGATGAAGTCATGGTATAGAGCTGAGTTACCGGGTCCATTTGCTTTTTAAAAATTATGACCACCACTGAAGAAAATAAGAATACTAATGATAGCATCTTTCATTGGAAAATCACAACACTTAATAGAATGTCGCAAAATCTTTGAGAAGTGGTTTTGTCCTTCTTACTATATTTAACAGGAGGGAAAATTGACATGTACTGAGGTAGAATGTCTTTTCAGAACGATGAAATCAGAGAAATAGACAGAAATAGAATCCTGGAATCCTATCTCCCACTCACTTTAATTAACGTCTAGAACATGCCATATACAGAAATAATTTTTCTCTGCTCTTGATTCTTCCACACAAGGGCTAAAATGATGTTTTAAAGAATCACTTAATGACTTAATGGTTACTTAAAGTAACAAAGCATAGAGTCATAGATCAAAGAGGGCAATATGTTTAGATGCAGGACAGTCTAAGGAATGCCAAGAGAAGAGAAAGTCAAAATAGGTCATCTGAATTTATTGCCCACTGCATACCCACCTCCTTCAAGAGGTTGTAGCACTTTTCCATTCCTGTACCACGTGATGTTGCCATCTGGATAACTGTCTTTTGAAATGCAGTCTCCCAACTGCAAAAAGAAGAGGGAATGTTGCTACCTCATTTCCATCAGTGGTTGTCAATTTGAAAGTTTTAGACTCCTCAGAGGATGCAGTTATTCCAAAGGTTCCCTGACCCATTCATTATCTGAGCATGGACGAGGAACTGAATAAATGCTCTCTTGCATTAAAAACAAGGTCTCATACTTAAAATTATGGTCTTGCCCATTTAAAAATATGCAATAGATGCTGCCACTTTTAATAAAATCACATTCATTTAAAAGCATTACCAAATTCATTTCGACATTATTCATTTTTAACATTAACTAAATAACATAACTACATTAACATTGGCTTTTCCCATGGTTCACAGATCTTAGTATGCAAGAGTCATTAAGTGGGGCTGCCTCTCCAGTCTCGTACTATATCAAGTTCAGATACATACACTTATATACTTACCAAATCTATAATTCCCACCACTTTTTTCAAACGTGTTATAACTTTAATAGCTAGCATTGTTAAAAAATGTGATGCAGTAAAAATTTTTTAAAGATTAAAAAAAAAAATTTAAGTTTATTTATTTATTTTGAGAGACAGAGAGGGAGAGAGAGAATCCCAAGCAGGCTCCACACTGTCAGCACAGAGCCTGAGGCAGGGCTTGAATTCACAAGCCACCAGATCATGACCTGAGCTGAAACCAAGAGTTGGAGGCTCTACCAACCTGAGCCACCCAGGCACCCCTGTTATGCAGAAAAAATTTAATCTGATTCAAAGAACTGTTTGGTTTTTTCTTCACAAAGGAAAATTTAGGTATTTCAGTTAGTGAAAATAATATCATTAGTCCATTAGCCCAAATGTAAACTCCAGTTTGTCCCTTCTCAATACAGCCTCTCTTCACACTTCTGCTAATGCGATTGTTCAAATCTGATCTTATCACATCTTTACCTCAACTTTTCAACAGTTTGATCTGTCAATAGGATAAAGTCCAAACTCCCACCATTACATACAGCTTGTCATAACCCAGCTTCTCTTTACTTCTCCAGATTTATCTTTTATTGTACTCTCTTGCCCACTGTTCCGCTACACAAAGTTCCAGCGAAGTGAATAACTTGATGCTTCCTAAAAATGCCATTCTCCTTCATGTCATAGTGTATCATGTTGTTGGAAAGCCTTTCTACCCTTGGCTTGGAGAAAATCTACTCATCTTAACATTAAGACTCCACTTAACATTCAGTTCATTCAAACAAGAAAGGCTGATGTCTGATTATTCCCCACTCTTCTCCCTTCAGAAATGATTACATCATCCTCCGTGTTCCCACTCTAACTCGGGCAGACTTTCTGATTGGCACTGGCAACCTTGCCACCTCCATAAGAGCAAAGTCTATCCTTATTTGTCCTGGCATCTGAAGCCAGGAGAAGACATTTAACATTAAGCTAAGTGAAGGCAATTAATCCAAGTTCTTACCTGTTTTAGCTGCTCTGTTTCGAGAAAAGGTGCTTTGCTTACAATTTCAGGTTTAGATGGTTGCTCTAAAGTTAAGTAGAGAAAGGTATTAAGTACACATGAAGGAACAAAAAGACATTTATGATTTGGATTATAGAAAAAGAATTCACTTATTCAAAGAAAAACAAGCACAAGCAATGAAGACCACATTCCCATATAATCTGTAATTAAGAAATCTGGTTAGCCCACTATCTCCTAATATTTGCTTTATTATATTAAATACTATTTTAAATGCCTATTACACCTTTAAATAAAATACTGGTAATGTTTTCTGAATGCTTTATAAACAGTGAATATGGATTTGATAGTGAAACAGAGGTTTATATACTAAATATGAATGTTGTTTCCAATTGATTATCATGTGTACTTTCTATTTACTAATAACTTCCAGCTACTTAGGTGAAGACCTGAATCCACAGTGGGTACTTGTTAAAAATGCAGAATCAGAGTATCTAGGGAAGTCCTATATAAATCTACTTTTTATTTTTTTTATTTTTTATTTATTTTTTTTTTTTTAAATTTTTTTTTTCAACGTTTATTTATTTTTGGGATAGAGAGAGACAGAGCATGAACGGGGGAGGGGCAGAGAGAGAGGGAGACACAGAATCAGAAACAGGCTCCAGGCTCTGAGCCATCAACCCAGAGCCTGACGTGGGGCTCGAACTCACGGACTGTGAGATCGTGACCTGGCTGAAGTCGGACGCTTAACCGACTGCGCCACCCAGGCGCCCCTAAATCTACTTTTTAAAACAAGTTTCCTATAAGATTCTCAGGCACACTGAGAATCATGCCTCTAAAATCATGGTAACTAAAAAGAGTTAAGGGATATAGAAGCTCAAGTTTTCTGTGTATCTCAAACCTCATCTTTAAAGTGAAGTCACATTACGAAACTTTAAATGTGGGGATATCCTTCAAATTTGGAACTGAGATAATGGACAGAGCATTTTAAATATAGGAACTTCTGTAAGCATCCATTCTAAGAGAGCCCTCAGAAAGAACTGATTAAAAATCTCAGCAGGGCACCTGGGTGGCTCAATTGGGTAAGTAGTTAAGCATCTGACTCTTGGTTTTGGCTCAGGTCATGATCTC